TTGGAGCGCTGCGCCAAGATCGGGCTGGTGGATGCGTAGCAGCTGAAAGTCACGAAGGAGTCGACGACGCTCCGAACTTGTTTCCCGCTCAGCCATGGCACCCCTAGCCGCCCCAACTCTGGCGGCGCCTCCACCATCTCGACGCACACCGCCAAGATCGCTGGCATGCGCGTCCGTCTGTACCGACACGGCCTGTAGCGCCTCCGGCTCGCTGGGCGCCGCGGGGGGCGCGAACGAAGCTGCCATGGTCGCCGCCGCCGCCGCCGCGGGGGCCTTGATCGTAGCCAGTTCGGCCTCGATCTCCGCGTCGTAGCCGTCGCCGGCTGCCGCCACGGCACGGGCGCCGTCCCGCTCGCCAGGTGCGGGGCCCGGAGGGGGCGCGGAACGGGCGCCCTCGGCGGCTTCGGCAGACGCCTCCGGCGCCTGATGCGCCTCCGCGGGCGCTTGTGCCTCGGCGCGCGACGGCGCAACAGCGAGCGCGGCTACAAGCCGCGTGGGCCCGCTGCCGCGGCGGTTCCCCGGCGCAGCAGCGGCACCGAGGCTGAGCGCAATGGCGCGGCCCTCCGCACGGCGGTACTGCGCCCTGTGCTCGGCCGCGGTGCGGTTGGGCAGCGAACGCCAGGATGCTGCGCCAGCGAGCCCTGTGCACATGGGGGTCAGCCAGGGCACCGGGTCCTGCAGGATCCTGCTCGGCGAGGACCCCCTTTGGCTGACCCGGGTTAGCGAGCCGCTCGTGGCCGCGAGGCGGCCGCGCCAATTGGCTGACTTGGTTTTGCAAAGACCTGCGTTGCAGTTTTTGTTGCCTGCATTGCAGTTTTCTTGGTTTCCTGCTGACCCGGGTCTGGATTGACCCGGGTCAGAGGATCCATGAGGCGGACTCTGCAGGCCCTCCAGAGATTCGAAGTTCAAGAAGCGGCAGCGATTGAAGGCTGCACCTGCCCACAGGCCTATCCAGGGCGACTTTTGTGTGGTCCCGATGTGAGCTCTGCTTGAGGTGAGCGCCTACTTGAACCCTCTCGCATGATAGCTGACGGCTTGGGCCCCTTGCTGTATGATGTTCCAACCTACTTCGTCCTTGATCACCCGTGAAAAATGTCGAGTACCAAGAACTTCTCGAAATTGGAGGATGTTCACGCGTCGGGCCATGGGATGCGATACTCGTGCGGCACTTCGCCAGTTCGTCGGGCAGACACTGTTACGATACTTGTCGGGTACTCGAACTGATTTCTGGGATTTGGCCTTCAAGTACGATGCTAACAACATAACAACGGCTATCCTCCTGGCCTGTCTTTAAGGCCGTCGTCCCCTCGGCCATCTCGCGCGTGAGCGAATCCCGGCTTATAGCTGATGTTGCTTCTCCCCTGCGTCCACTGCACGCCTTCTCGCAGCCTGCTGTCAGACTGCCATCGCGCACGAAGTGCTTCTCGATTTGGCGCCTCCCGCACGGACTGGTCCCAGCACTGTAGCCGATGACGTTGGCTTCGCGCGTTCTCGCGGTGCTCACGCACACGGGTCCTTGCCTGGCAATTGTTGACGTTGACCCGCGCGGATTTTTTTTTAGCAAAGAAGGAGGAGGCGGAGGAGGAGGAGGAGGAGGAGGAGGAAGAGGGAGGGGAGGAGGAGGAGGGGGAGGAGGAGGAGGAGGAGGAGGCGGAGGAGGAGGAGGGAGGGGAGGGGAGGAGGAGGAGGAGGAGGAGGAGGAGGAGGAGGAGGAGGAGGAGGAGGAGGAGGAGGAGGAGGAGGAGGAGGAGGAGGAGGGGAGGAGGAGGCTTTTTTGACTATACTTAGCTCGTTGCAAGTTAGCTTGAGCGCAGCGGCCAACAGGACTGGCACAGGCTGCACACGAGAAGCCCGAGAGCATGGACGCTGAGCTGCTTCCGCTCTCGTCCCGAAAACTGTCAGGAGAGAGGTATTGGCGCTGAGGGAGGGGAGGAGAGGAATCATACCGAGAGAGGAGGAGATTGCAGCGCCGTGCGAAGAGAGACATCAGCGGCACCCTGCTTCGTTGCCCATAGTAGGGCAGCCCTCGATGCAGAGAGCAGTGCGAGGCAGGAAAAAGAAAAGACCTGCCTGGGAGTGCCTTCCGAATTTCGGACGGCTATTGAGAGGGAAGAGCTGGACGGAGGGCCAAAATGGCCAGGCCGCATTGCGGCTGTCCAAACCTCCATGGGAGGAGATCTGGACTGGAGGAAGAGCGGGGGAAGTCATAAGAGGCGGGGGAGGAAGAAGGGCCAGAGTGGCATTGCCGTGTTGCAGGGCGTACGCTGCAGCTGAAAGGCCTGTACGGGCCGACCGCGGCGGGGAGGTGGGTGCGCCTGGGCGCTAGCCGAGACCAGACAACAGGGACCCACCTCCGTGTGGCCCCTCACAGGCACACAGGGACCAAGGGGACCCTGCTATACCTGGACGGGGGCCAAAGAGATGCGCCGGGGCAAGGTGCCACGGTCCTCTCATGAGGCGCTTGTGGCTAGGACTGTCTAGGTGGTGAGCTGCCACGGCGAACCAAGAGTATTAGGCCAGCCCACCACCTAGAGACTCAGCCGTGGCGAGTCTGCGAATTGCTGTGTGTGCTTAGCCGATCGCTGTTTAGCGAGGCTGCAAAAATGTGCCGTGCTGTCCGCACTAGTGCGGCAAAGTGAGAAGTCGCGCCCATGAATGGCGACTACTCATGGAGGGCCCTCTAAAGAGGGGCCGGTGGAGAAAAGAGCGCTAGTTGGGCTGCCGAGGTAGGTATTAGGCGGCTCCGCCCCTGTGTGGCGCATTGGCGGTTGCACCATGGGCGCCCATCCCACGTAGGCCTGAGATGGTGACGACAGATGCCGCAAGAGTTGCAGTGAGAGTGTGCACCTGTAGGACTCACTGCAGCGGAATGCATGTCGGCTTGGCCGGCCTTAAATTGGAGACGCGGTGTCTCCTTTGTTTAGGCTCGTGTGATGACTTGGGCTGTATAGGTGGTGGGCTGCATGCAAACCGGGATCTGAGCAGTGTGCTAACCCACCACCTATGCGTGAGGACTCAGCCGTGGCGAGTCTGCGAATTGAGATATGTGAGCGGCGCTTAGCCGCCTCACTGTTAGCGGGGCTGCCCAAGGTTGCAGCGCCGCACATTGACGGGATAGGCTGGATGCTGCTAGACTCGCGTGGCCTACCGCGGCGGGGAGGTGGGTGTGCCTGGGCGCTAGCCGAGACCAGACAACAGGGACCCACCTCCGTGTGGCCCCGCACAGGCACACAGGGACCAAGGGGACCCTGCTACACCTGGATGGGGGCCAAAGAGATGCGCCGGGGCAGAGGCCACGGTCCTCTCATGAGGCACTTGTGGCTAGGACTGTCTAGGTAGTGAGCTGCCAGGGCGAACCAAGAGTACTAGGCCAGCCCACCCCCTAGACTCAGCCGTGGCGAGTCTGCGAATTGCTGTGTGAGCTTAGCCGATCGCTGTTTAGCGAGGCTGCTAAAATGTACTGCGCTGGCCGCACTAGTGCGGCAAAGTGAGAAGTCGCGCCCATGAATGGCGACTACTCCTGGACAGGGCCCTCTAAAAGAGAGGCCGGTGGAGAAAAAAGCGCTAGGTGGGCTGCCGAGGTAGGTATTAGGCGGCTCCGCCCCTGTGTGGCGCATTGACGGTTGCGCCATGGGCGCCCATCCCATTTAGGCCTGAGATGGTGTCGACTGATGCCGCAAGAGTTGCAGTGTGTGTGCACCCGAAGGACTCACTGCAGCGGAATGTATGCCGGCTTGGCCGGCCTTAAATTGGAGACGCGGTGTCTCCTTTGTTATAGTTTGGCTCGAGTGAAGAAGGCTTGGGCTGATTAGGTGGTAGGCTGCAGGCAAACCAGGAACTGAGCAGTGTGCTAACCCACCACCTATGCGTGAGGACTCAGCCGTGGCGAGTCTGCGAATTGAGATATGTGAGCGGCGCTTAGCCGCCTCACTGTTAGCGGGGCTGCCCGAGGTTGCAGAGCCGCACAATGACGGGATGGGCTGGATGCTGTTAGACTCGCGTGGTCTACAACTCAGCTATGCAGGACGGCTCGACCGACCTTGAATTGGAGCGGCATGGCTCCAGCTGTTTAGGTGGTGGGCTGCCGAGGTGGAGAGAAGACGCTGAAAGGATGTGGAAAGGAAAGTATTAGGCGAGCCCACCACCTAAGTATGCACGCTGCTAGTTGCGCCGAGGTCGCTTAGGACGACCTAGAAGGGCGCTGACTGATGCGTCATTAGCGTGGCTCGCTCAGGCACTGAAGGGCGACGGGTTGAGAGAGCGGGCGGCAGCCGAGAGCGCCGACAGACCTGCCGCTGTCGCCGCCGCACGCGCCTGGGCCTCTTGCGCGGCAGCCTGCTGCTGGTTGTAGTGGTTCCTCAGCATGGCCTCCACCTCAGAGATGGTCGCCAGGCCTGGGGTCTCGATCCACTCCCAGTCCCAGGTTTCGACGACCTGGCCGTCGATGACGTCCAGCGACTTGAGGAGGAGGAGGAGGAGGGAGGGGGGGGAGGAGGAGGAGGAGGAGGAGGAGGAGGAGGAGGAGGAGGAGGAGGAGGAGGAGGAGGAGGAGGAGGAGAGGAGGAGGAGGAGGAGGAGGAGGGGGGGGAGGAGGAGGCGGAGGAGGAGGCGGAGGAGGAGGAGGAGGAGGAGGAGGAGTGCCACAAAACCGTTCCTTTCAGCTCAGAAAATCAACAGGAGCAGGAGGAGGAGGAGGAGCAGCAGCGGAGGAGGAGGAGGTGGGAGGGAGAGAGGGAGGGAGGCAGGGAAGGAGGGAGGGATTGGAGGAGGAGGAGGAGGAGGAGGCCCTGAGGAGGAGGAGGAGGAGGAGGAGGAGGAGGAGGAGGAGGAGGAGGGGAAGGAGAAGAAGGAGGAGGGGGGAGGAGGAGCAGGAGGAGGATAGGGAGGACGGTGTAGAGGAGGAGGAGGAGGAGGAGGATAAGGAGGAGAAGGAGGAGAAGGAGGAGGAGGAGGAGGAGGACGGAGGAAGAGGGTGTCTTGGAGTATCCCCCGCCGGTGAGGCTACGACAAGCCTTGGGAGAGACGAGAGGACACGGCGGCTCGGCTGACGCGCGCGGAGTTGGAACAGGAGGAGGAGGAGCGAGGGCGTGGACGAGGGCGAGGGCGAGGGCGAGAGCGAGGGCGAGGACGAGGACAAGGACGGTGTGGAGGAGGTGGACGAGGACGAGGACGGGTTGGAGGAGGTGGAAGAGGACGAGGACGTGGATGTTGACGAGGACGTGGTGGAGGAGGAGGACGAGTTCGAGAACAGGCTGGAGGAAGTAGAAGATGATGATGAGGAGGAGGAGGAGGAGGACGAGTCGGATGTCCGACGATGTGCTTTTGTTTCAATTGGGGTGTGTTTGGTTTGCTTCTACATCTGATGCATTTTCCTTCGAGTTCTGCCTTTTGATGCCATCTGGGGCGATGTTCTAGAGGTTCTCTTCCTCCTTCATCCTCCACCTCGCTCCTCCCCCCTCCTCCCCCTTCTCCCCCCTCTCCCCCCCTCCGTTCTCCGTCCTCCCTCAACGCTTCACCCCTCGCCTCCCCCGTTCCTCGCCCCTCACGGCCCCACAGGCGCCCCCCCCCCACCCGGACCATCAAGAACAGATCCGGGACGAAAATCTTTTCCTTGGGAGGCGTCGGGAGCACTTTGGCCGCGAGCTGAAAAGAAACACACATCTTAGGATGCCAGGAGAGGGAGGGTGGGTTGAAGGGGAGTGGAGCCTTGGGGGAGGAGGGGGAGGAGGAGGGGGAGGAGGAGGAGGAGGAGGAGGAGGAGGAGGAGGAGGAGGAGGAAGATTGAGGAGGAGGAGGAGGAGGCGGAGGAAGCGGAGGAGGAGGAGGCGGAGGAGGAGGCGGAGGAGGAGGAGAAGGAGGAGGAGAAGGAGTCGATCTGCATCAGCGTCCCTGTCCAGCCAACTGAAGCCGATTGCTCATGGACACCGCAGAGCCTGGACTGTCCAGGGGGCCTTTGAAACCAATGGGAACGCATGGCCAGGTGCCGCTGCCAGTGCGCGTACAGCGCTGGCAGTGGCACCTTAGCGCGGGGGTAACTCAAAACTTGAGCGATCCTTCTTCGGGACGAGCGCGCTACGATCTTCTTCGGGACGAGCGCGCTACGATCGTCTTCGGGATGAGCGCGCTACGATCTTCTTCGGGACGAGCGCGCCACGATCTTCTTCGTGACGAGCGCGCTACGATCTTCTTCGGCGAGGCGGCCCGTGTTGCTCCCACCCCCCCTCCGTGTCCCATCCCTCCACCCCCCCCTCATCTTCCCCCCCCCTCCCCGTCCAGTCTTCGAGCTCGTTGGAGCCGCTGCCGACGGCATCATCCTTTTCGCCTTCTGGGGACCTCCATGTCCCATCCATCCACCCCCCCTCATCTTCCCCCCCCCTCCCCCTCAAGTCTTCGAGCTCGTTGGAGCCGCTGCCGGCGGTCAAATCCTTTTCGCCTTCTGGGGACCTCCATGTCCCATCCATCCCCTCCCCTCATCTTCCCCCCCCCTCATCAGGGGTGACTCGGGTCAGGGCCAACTCGGGTTCGTTTCTCGGGATGCCGAACCCGAGTTATCCTGGACGCCCCGGATAACAGAGACCCAAATCATCAGGGGTAACTCGGGTCAAAACCAACTTGGATTCGTTTCTCGGGATTCCGAACCCGAGTTGTCCCGGACCCGAGTTACCCCCCCCCGGATTACTCGGGCGTCTAGAGGCCCGAATCATCAGGGGTAATTCGGGTCAGGGCCAATTCGGGTTCGTTTCTCGGGATGCCGAACCCGAGTTGTCCCGGACCCGAGTTACCCCCCCGGATTACTCGGGCGTCTAGAGCCCCGAATCATCAGGGGTAATTCGGGTCAGGGCCAATTCGGGTTCGTTTCTCGGGATGCCGAACCCGAGTTGTCACGGACCCGAGTTACCCCGGATTGATCGGGCGTCCAATTTGAGCCGCTGCCGACGGCATCATCATTTGCGCCTTCTGGAGGCCGCTGATAAAACAAAATCAGCCACGCGTTTAGGGGGGTGGGGGGAGGGCGGAGGGCTTCTCAGAAGCACCCCTGCTTCTTAGAAGGCGCGGACCTCATCCATAGATGGAAGGCTGGCGCCTTCTAAGAAGCAGCCTCCTTCTAAGAAGCCCTTCCCCCTCCCTCCACCCTCTTGTGCGCGCCGCCATGTACTCCGGGATTTGCGTTACAGTCGGACCGAGGTGTAAGGTCGAGGTCGGTGCGGGGAGAGTACCCTGGTGTTCTTCGTGTCTGTTGGATGCTCTTGTGCGTCCTGGGGGCGGGCACCCTCGAATGCTCCTCTATTGGGGCCGGCCGAGGATCTCATGCTCTCGGAGGGTGTTCTTCTTTCCTAGGTCCGACTGCACCCTCCTCGCCATCCCAGGCCTTCCCCATTGAGGTCGTGACCAGTGGGACGAGTGCACTTTTTGCTGTCTCACGCGTTCAAGGGTTGAGTACGCAAGCCCTCGCGTTGCATATTCTGGTGCGACGTCTGCGCGCGACTCGCCGAATTGTCTGACTGTCGCTGCCTCGGTCCGCCATCGCTTTGCTGGGGGAAGACGGGAGCTGCGGGCCCATAGTCCAGTCGGATCTTATCGTGGCCCGTGGGGTTCTCTCCGCTGACGGGGCAGCGCTCGCAAGCTCCCTACACGCTCCCACCCCAGGCATTGCGGCCACCAGGGTTAGGTAGGGCATGTCCCTCTACAGGAGGGATATTCGAGAGTAGTGAAAGAATGGGCTGGTGACGATGTGTTGTATTGGTTTCGACTATTCTTGATCATGGTTTCACTATTTCCCATTGTTCTTCCAAAATCCGCCTGTAGGAGGACATGCCCGACCTGGCACTAGCACTATGGCAATCGCGTCCTGTTCAGTGCATCAGCAGCTTGATGTGGAGCGACTGCCAGGCCCCTGCGTCCAAAAAGGACGAAGAGGCCTGCAAGGGTGGCGGCAGCCGCCATTGAAGCCAGCACGCCTCCAAGTGACGGGGGTTGCTAGAAGTGCCCCTGGCCAAAGGTGCCCCCAGGATTTCCACAGAGGCCCCCACGGCCTCCAGAGCACCCCTTACGAGGCTCAGGGGGCCCTGAGGGCTCCAAAACTGAGCGAAAAGCTGGGGGGCACCTGGGGTCAGGGGCACCTCTGGCAACCCCCGAGATTGGGCACCTACCTACCAGTCCACGTCCTCCCCCTTCTCCTTCCGCTTCATCCCCTCGTCCACTCCTCGCCGTCCCCTTGCCTGCTCTCCCGCGGTTTTCCCTGCTCGTCATTGCCATGCCCCCCTCCCTGCCCCTCCGCACCCGCATCCGCCTGATCCACGTCTTCCTCCTCTGGCGAGGTCACACGTCTCGATGTTCCCGCGGGAAGGCCCCAGGGCTCAGAACCCGGTTCCCTCAGGACCCGTTTGCTCCATGCCAATTGGGAAGAAGGTTCGACAACAATCCATCCGAGTTCGCAGAACGCCTCGCATTTCACACTCGTGTGGCCGGCTTCGCACATTCGTGAACGTGTTCAGGCATGTTGGTTTAGCGTGTCGCACCGCCGGTTCTGGCCAACCACGCTTCGGCGCGACAAGTTATCCACTTCCCAGTCCCCAGGCGTCAACGTCCCGAACATGTCCCGAGTCCCAGCCTCCCGCCCTGCGGAGCGGAGCGACACGCTATCCGCTCGCAGGGCATAACGTGCCGCCGCCGCGACACGCTAAGCAAAAACTCCCGACCGTACATGATGGTTTGCTCCGCTCTCGTTTCTCCAGTTCAGTCACTGCGGGGCGATTGGAGATTCGTGGTGATGTTCCTCGGACTTTCTAGAGCCCGGCAGCCCAAACAAAAGCAAAGAGCCCCCCAAGCCTTGAAAGACCTCGGAATCTCGCAAGGAAACCTTCCACACCCTCCAACAATCCCACGACATCTCCGTCTGTGCATCCTCTATTCATTGCGACAGGTTCGCGCCACGTCGACGCGGCGGCGACGCCAGGGCGGTTGTTCAAGGTTGATGGCCACCAGCGGCTTGTCGGACAGCTCAGTCATTCAAGATTTGCGAATATCGAGTATTGGAAATTGGCCAGCCGATGGTGCAAATCGGCGGATATTGAATGCTCTCGGGTGTCGGACAGTGGCGGTCGTCCAAGATTTGACTATTCACGCGGTGTCAGAATCCAGTGCACTCGTCATCGCAGCGTGAAGTTGACTGGTCGCAGTGGAACCGCACTCTCCAGGAGGTGTACCACATTCAGAACTACGACCCACGCCTCACCAACGTGCTTGTCCTGTCCACGCACGACAGTTTCTTCGGCCACGTGGCTGGGCAATGGAGAGATCGAGAGAGTGGGAGAGCAATCAAGTACCCCTCTCTCCGATCCATCCTCGCTCCAGTCGCAATAATCCATCTTCTCAGCTCCCTTCTCTACCCTCAACTAGTCTACTCTCCTCCCTACTCCTCCCTCCTCCCTTCTCCGTCTCCCTCTCCATCGTTCCTCTGGGCTCCCCCCTGTTTCTCCCCCGTCCTCCATCTTCCTACTACTCCCTCGTTTCCCCCCTCCTTACTTATCCCTCCAGCCTCGTTCCTTGTTCCGCCCTCCTTTCAGCCTCCCCCCTGCCTCTTTCCCGTCATCATCATCATCATCATCATCATCATCATCATCATCATCATCGTCATCATCATTAGCATCATCATCATCAGCAGTAGCATCATCATCATCGTCATCATCATCAGTATCATCCGCATCATCATCATCATCATCATCATCATCATCATCATCATCATCATCATCATCATCATCATCATCAACAGCATCCGCATCCGCATCCGCATCCGCATCATCATCATCCGTCCTTCTATTATTCCGTCTGTCGAGCCTTGTTGGTCATATCATCAATTTCAAGTGTGTGGGTTAGCCTTGCTATATAAACCCACCCCGCTAGCCAAGACTAGACGACAACACCTCGATATACTTGCTAGAGGTTGTTGGTCCAAAGTTTTCAGCAAGGCCGAGGCGGCGGCTCGAGCCTCGTGGTATATCATATATACAGCCTGTCTCGCTCAAGGATTGGTCTCATCGCGTATCATCCTCTTTCCCGTTCTTCCCTTGTCCTCTCTCTCTTCGTGGGCGTTGTCTTCACCCTCCTATGAGCACCATGGCGCTGTCGAGCTCGCAGTGTCCTGAGGCAGCGTGTCGAGTAGCTGTCGGAATCGCACCATGGCGCTGTCGAATCCGTTGCCCTTCCTGGCACAGAGGGAAGCGGTGTCGAGGACAAGGAAGTAGACACTCTTGCACCCCTGGCTGGGATGGCCTCGGTTTCTCCGTCCTCCCTCTTCTTCCTTCCTCGTCTTTCCTCCACCATCCGTCATCCTTCCTCTTCCCCCCTTGCCGCGTGTTTCTCCTTCAGCCCTCCTCCCTCCTCGTCCTCGTCTTCATCCTCCCCCCCTTCACGTTCTGCGTCCCCCTCGTATTGCGTATGCCGCCCTCTGCCATTCGTTCTCCCATTGCCTCCCGTTCAGAGAGCGGTTCCACGACTCCCGACAGCTTGCCTCAGCCTCAACCAGCGAGACATCGGCAGCAGAACCAGCCATGTCAAGTCCGAGCCCACGGCGTGGGCAACGGCGGCAGCGGCAGCAGGCTCCCCAGAAAGTCAAGCGCCAGCAGTCACCGCGAACGCCAGCCAGATGCACTCCAGGGGCGACGACAAGAACCAGGTCGTCGGCACACTGGCGTACAGGCTCCAGGCAGTACAGTGCACCACACGCTGCAGTCGACCACCGAGGTGTCCGCTGACTACCGCCAGAATTCGGAGGTGGTGCTCTACGGCCTCGACCACGAGAAAAAGAGAATATGCTTGTCGCTGGCGCGCATCGAGGACCACACAGCCTTCAATCACGAGGGGGAGGTGGAGAGGGCCCATTGCGTCCAGGTTTTGCGTGCGCAGCTCGAGAAAACCCATAATGCCATCGACCATCCAAGATGTTGGCGGCGCTGCTAGAATACCATGGGCGCTACACGGTTGAACCCATCCCGTGGGAGTTGGATTGGAAGGGGCGCTAGGCGGACGAGCTGGAAGGTTCCTACACGAAATGGACTTCAAGCGGTCGCGGGCGGGGCTACGATGTTGCAGAGCAGGCCCATCAGACGAACCAGGCGCCCATCCAGCACCACCAAGACGTCAGCGTCTACATGGCCCCTCCGCACCCGAAATTCCCGAGCCCGTCGCCAGCAGTGATGAGGTGGTGCGAGGGGCCAGCCAAGTGCAGCGGCGGCGTCAACAGCAGCAAGCGGTCCAGCGAACCAGCTCGCGAGCGACGCGAAGCAGTACGGGGGCCTCCGCATGGGTAGCGCACGGTTCGCGTCGGCGGCGGGGTACGGACTCGGCCGGGCGTCGTGAGCCAGACATCACTACAGTTTTGGGCAGCATCGTGCAGCAAGTGGCCGAGGCCTCTGCTACACGAGAGTCGGCAGGCCCTCCAGCGAGCAGGCCCAGCCAGTGCGGTGCGCCCCTAAAGGGGGATGGCCTCCTTCTCATACAGAGTTCGCCTGCTTTGCAGTCCATATATTTTCTCTCTTGGGGAGGGGGGAGTGATGGAGTCGGGGAGTGGGGGGAGCTGTGAGGCCCTCGGCGGGCAGGGTGGTAGCCGCCTCCGCCCGCAGCCAGTCCGAAGCGGGGTATCCCGCCAGGCGGGGCTGCCATTTCCTCCAAGGCAAGCTGGGGGGGAAGTGCACGGGCCTGCAGCCACTTACACTTAGGGCATTATCCTCGTCTGTTCTCCTCCCTTTCTCCTCCTCCCTCCTCCCGATCATCATCTTCCTCGTCGCTCATCCTTGACCCCATCTCCTCCACCTCATGCCCCCCCCCCCCGCGGCTGCTGACAGCGGGTAAGATATCACGTATGAAAGCGGAAGGTTCGGATCGGCGTTCGATGCGTTCCAGATTGGCGCAGGGTTGTGAAGAGCCAGGGTGGGTTTCGCCAGAGGGTTTCAATCAGATTTTCTGATTTCCGTGGCTAGAGTGACTTGAGCAAAATACGCTCGCGTTCGGCAAAGTACGTTTGTGAATTGGAATAAGCGGTCATGCGCTGTTGGTTTTTTGTTGCGCCGTTGGTTTTTGTTGGACGTAGCACATACCAGTTGACTGCTTACATTGCCGCAGCTTCCCCTCCTCAGGGCCGTGTTTCGAGCATCGTTGCACTTGAGGTTCAATGGTGCGGACAGGGCAGGGCACAGTCAGGTGACCGCCACGCTCTCTTCTACGCGAGCCAGGGTGGCGCTGCGTACCGGAACATCAGGATGGGACCGATCACTACGATGCAGGGGCAGTTCCCGATGTCTTGCGACAGTGATGTTCTTCGGCGGCGCGTCCGGGGGGGGAAGGCAGATGGGACACGCTTCCTCTCTCAGAAGGCGGCGGGCGCCGGGGCTTGATAGAAGCCCTCCGTGCTTCGAAAAATGCCCGACGTGTTCTCGCAAATGTTCGCAGAGTCTGGAGGCCCACTGGGCCTTCTGACAAGGCCCACCCCCCCTCTGCCTTTACCCTCTGGGCGCGCAGCCCGGCTGTGAAGGTCGCTGCTTTGTCCTGGCAGCAGGCGTGCACGCAGCACCGCCACATTTGCTTGCACGTCGGGGGCCGGGCAGCGCATCGGGTGCGCTCTGCTGGTGGCGTGCGGTGGTGCTCCACGGCGCCCCGGGAGGGAGGGAGGGGGGGGGGGGAGGGGGGAGGGAGGCAGGAGGGAGGAGGGAGGAGGGAGGAGGGAGAAGGAGGAGGAGGAGGAGGAGGAAGAGGAGGAGGAGGAGGAGGAGGATCGCCGATTCCAGCGCACATGCTTCTCCCCCCATGCGTCGGGACACGTCGATTAGTGAATTGTCCGCTTTCGGTTCTCAAGAGGGCGCCGCGGCCGTCATTTTCCAGGCTTGCGCCCGCCAGGTTTGGGCCCGAGGCCGTTTTCACTAAACCACGTTTAACTAAAAAGGGTCCTGTCTATCCCCCCATGCGGCGGTCCCCATCGGGAGGGGGAAGGCCGAAGGTGGTGAGAAATGGAAGCAGAGAGGGGGGCCAGGCGGGGCCAGGGCAGGGGAAAAAAGCGTCCCCATCCGTGCATGCCCCTCGGGGAGGGGGGAGGACGAAGGGGCGAAAACAAAAAAGGCAGGAAGAGAGGGCGCTAGGCGGGGCCAAGCCAGAGATGAAGCGCTTCCACCGATGCCTCCTCCAGAACCGCTCTGTCCTGGTCAGATTTTGTCCCCGTCCTGGCCAGAGGGTCTCAGAGGTCCCCGATCTGTCCTGGTCAGATCTTGTACCTGTCCTGGCTTCGTCGTCGTCGCCATCGTCGGCGTGGGCGTCGTCGTCGCCGCCGTCGGCGTCGTCGTCGTCTTCGCCCTAGGGGGGTGGAGGAGGGGCCCGGGCGGCGGAGGCCCCCAGAGGTCCTCCGCGCCCTCCTCCTCCTCCTCCTCCTCCTCCTCCTCCCTCCTCTTCCTCCTCCTCCTCCTCCTCCTCCTCCTCCTCCTCCCCCTCCTCCTCCTCCTCCTCCTCCTCCTCCTCCTCCGCCCTCCTCCTCCTCCTTCCTCCTCGTCGTCCTCCCCCTCCTCCTTTCTCGGGTGGCGCCAGCGGGCGAGGCCGGTCCAGTGCGGCACGGCAGCAGCTGCGCCGAGGATCATCCAGGATCGGCGTCGCTCGAGGAAGCCAGGCCCCCTGGTCGTGGAAAAATCACGACGGAAGGTTTTTCGCCAGCTTCGGCCTCTTGGGTGTGCGGACGGAGGAGGAGAAGGGCGAGGAAGAGGAGGAGGAGGAGGCGGAGGATGTGGAAGAGGGGGGGGCGGAGGGACGGGGAAGGGAATGACCTGGCTTGGAAGCCCGATGAGGATCGAGGGCGCACCTCTCCAAATCTTCAAAAGAGAGCGAGTGGCGCCCCTGGGTGTCTGATTAAATCATGGTTGTTGGACCGTGCAGGCTGCATCGCATGGCTTGAGGCACGCAGTGCTCAACAAATCAGGGGCGTGCAGAGGGCAGTGAGTAGAGGCAGGTTTCAATACGGCCGGGAACGTTTGGTTATTGTGTCGTTCGGCCGGCTCTGGCCCACCGCGCGTCGGCGCGACACGCTAACCACGTCCACATTTCTAGGCGTCAATCTCCCGAGCCGTTCCCAGCCTCCCGCCCCGCGGAGCGGAGCGACACGCCATCCGATCGCCGGGCACAGCGTGTCGCTGGGGCTGCCGCCGCGACACGCGATGCAAATGTTCCCGACTGTAAGAATTGCACGGTGATCGGAGGCATAAAGGAGGTTGGCACCAACACCAATATCGGCGGTGTGTCTCCACCGAGGGAAGCTGATTCCCGATCTCAGTGATGGTGTTCATATCCAGGCTTCCTAGACGGCCGAATCCTGACCATCAACACCAAAATCTAGCATCACTTCCCCCTGGCGGAAGCAACCCCCTGAGTCAGTGTTGGTGCCAAGTTCCAAGCCTCCAAGGTGAGGCTGAGATGGAGACGGGGGCGGCCGAAGGAACGTGGTTGTGCCGCTGCCCTTCACGCTGAACTGCTCCTCTTGGCGCAGGGCCGTGGATCGCAGGCGGTCCCGCCTGCGGCTGCGATTACCGAGCCTCCCGTCGTCTTACATGCATGTTGCGTCCTCCTTGACAGGACTTGATCATCGCGGTTCGCTAGATGTGATGATCCAGCCCTGTTCGACATATTCGTCATCAAGGTCTTGCCCAGCCCTTCTTGCAACGCCCGTCTGTCGGCAATCTCCCTCGCTCGTCGCCATATTCGTCCTCGTCATCCTCCCCCCTTCAGGCCCGATCCTTCTCTCTGGACCCCGCCCCCACATCGCTTCCCAGCCAACCCCGCATTGCGTTCCAGCGCCGCCGTTCGCACCCCCCCTGCCCACGCCTCATCCTCAGACTCGTTTGCTTCAATTTCCTCCCCGTTCTCCTCCGCCTCCATCTGCTGCTCTTGCCAGCGTGCGGTGAGATGGTACCCCGCCGCCTGGAACATCGAGGCACGGCGCCGCGATGTAGACGCCCAGTCGTTTGCGTTCGTGGCCCGGGCGTTGCCCCCAGGGAGTGAGATCAGACGTATGTCGATCGAGGATCGCTTCGGATCGGATCGATGGCGGTCGGAGGCATGTCTTTTACCTCCTGTCCGGGGTGCCCTGGCTCAAGGGCCTTATACGGCAGCGGAGAAACAGGGATGGATGGGGACAAGGAGATACAAGGCGAGAAGGCTGAAGCCAGAGGTGAGACAGCTAAATGGTGGAAGGCTGGACGGTTGACAACCTCACCGTTTTTTCTTTTGTTTCTCTGCCAAAGAGGAAAGGCAGCTAGGGAAGGGAGGGCTCAGTTCAGTTCAGGAAGGGGCTGTCTTTACGGTCTTCTGTGTTTCCGCCTTCGCCTGTTTCTTTGCCTTCCGGTTGTCAGAGCGCTTCCTGCGCCTGGCCTGGTTCGGGTGCTTGCGCTTCAGGTTCCGGTCTGTGGAAAGCCTCAGCTTCGGGCAGTCCGTGGTCTTCGAGAAGAGCCCGTTCCAGTCCTTCCTTCCCTGTCGGAGGCTGCTTGGGCAGCACGATTATCTTCGCGCCTGCTCGGGGTGCTCCCCTTATCGTTGCCGTCGCAGCTGAGGGTCTCGGCGTCACTGTCACAGCTGGGAGATGGAGACACATCGACCCGCGAAGGGCCTGGCTGTGATTTTCCCGCCAGAGCCCGACTTGAAGAAGGAGGGTCGACCTCTGCAGGCCAGCCGGGAGAACTGGAAGAGCGGTTTGGGCTCAGAGCTTGCTATTGTATGGCCCTCTCTGTTTCCTCCAGCCTTGATCTGGGCACGTTGTCTCTTGGATCTCTCGCGGTCCCGGAGTAGGCGGGAAGACGCCCACTGTCCACAGAAGCCAACATCTCGGCGGTGCAAGACATTATGATGCTTCCGTTTACGAGGCGCGCCAACTTCCCGAAGCTGGTTGGCCTGATCAAGCATATCTGTCAAAATGTTGTCCTTCTGCTGCGCGTGCACCTGCTGCCTCAAGAGGCTCGCCGCCCTCTCTGCCAGCTCTGGCCGATCGAGGTCCCGGTGGCCCTGCATCCAGCAGCTCCCGGTGGCCTTCAACCGGCGGCGTCGGCACTTTGCGCGGCGGAGGTGCTGGAGGCGGCCGGCGCGGCGGAGGCGCCGGAGCAGACGCCGTGTTCGTGGTCCTCCTGCGCCGCAGCAGGCTGGGGCCGAGCACCAATGGCAGCGGCAGCAACCATAGCGAACTCTAGGTTTCCGCCGGCCGGGAGGCCACAGCACGGCGGTCCGCCTTGAGCCGCCACGGGTTGCGACAAGTAGCACGAAGCAGCACTTAACGGTCTCGCGGCCGAACGAAATTCGATCGAACATGGCTTGATCGGATCAAAGATTTTCGATGGATTGCTGCTTGGCTTGGCGAGCGGATCCGCGACCACACTGGCACCAGGTACCCAAAACAAACCACTAGGAAGAAGCTTGTTGTTTGCTGTTCTCTGCCAACCTACACACGCCTCCCTGATACGACTCAGGGATAGAATCAAATATTCTTCTGCGATGCGTGGTGCGGTGGAGTGCGCATTCGTGACAAGAGGTCACGAAACTATCAGGAGGAGTCCAGCAGGCGGCTCTTCTAGATTCAATGCCGCTTGAATCCCCCTCCGCGTCGCATGCTGCGCATCAAGGGCGCTCTCGGCAGCAAGGCTTTCAGTGGCCATCGTGGAGCTAATCGACCTCGTCTGCCTCTTGGAAGCCCAACGATAAACATAAGCACGCATTATGGGACAAGCACCCTCTGGGATCGTTTCTCCGATGAAAGTGGTCATGCCTCGCTGCGGGGGCATGCCCCTGGACGAGTCGCCGCAGGCGTGCACGCAGATTTTCGAATGATCCGCCGGCCCAAAATACAAAACCACATCTTCCCCCAAGTCTTCTAGCGTTCTCGTTGGCTTCGAGGAGGGCGGACATTGTTGCGGACTGTACTTTGGACACAAGCGAACTGCAAGCGAAGAAGTCACGAGGGCAGCTCTGCTCTGTGCGCCAGATCTGCTCGCCGAGGACAGCTCGCAACGCATCGCGCCCCGGCTCTGTCACGGGAGCGCTGGGTTGTCGGGGGCGGTGCGGCGGCGCGGAAATCAACGTCAGGGAGCGGCGGTGCTCTTTCTGATCTAGAGAAGCCCACGGAAGTCTTACTGATCTGTGCAACCCGCAGAACGTGAAGTCGCCATTTCCGTTTGGCCCCCCAGTGGA